AAAGGTAAAAAACTCTCAGTAAACTTACATTGGTTAAAAAGTATTATATTAATCAATGTATAGGGAGGAGGGGGGGGGGTTAAGACAATTAAGGAATTCTCTCTAATTTGAAGGAAGGGGTAAGGGCATGCGTTGGTAGCAAAGATCAAAAGAAAAATAAAGGGGGGGCCGGGGGGGGGGCTGATTTATACGGGGAGATCATGAAATACAAATTGATAAGTTATATTTATGAAAACATATAATGAATGTTCCCCCAACCCACACATGTTATCATTGTAATCCCCCCCTTCTTTTAAGAATCTATATATAGTCTGGCCCCTCATATATAATTTTGCATACTTTGTTGCAAAATTAAAAGTTTGTAATTTATTATTTAGAATTTGCAAAATCCACCCACATTTCAATAATATATTGCATACGCCCTAATAGAAACATTAAATCAACTTTTGCAGAAATTGATTTCCTGTAAATTAGATGATAAATTATTAATACCGTAGGGGGGATCTATACAGACTAATTGTGGCTTAAAATAAAAAGATAATATGTTTTCCCACCCTACCTGTATTCTTTATTTAAAGGGACTGCAGTAAGCATAATTTCAAGTGACCCTCCATGCAAAAATGGCAATGCCCGATTTGCTTAAAGGGACTGTAAGCGTAATTTCAAGTGCCCTCCGTGAAAAGATGGCAATGCCCGATTTGCCCAATTTGCTTAAAGGGACAGTAAGCGTAATTTCAAGTGACCCTCCGTGCAAAGATGGTAATGCCCGATTTACAATTCGGCATACCTTTATAGCTTTATTTAATCTTAAGTATCAATTAGTTATCCATGTCATAGTTTCTTTAAACTGTTTATTTTCATTTGCGGTTTCTCTGCAAAAGTGACTTGCACATTTCTTGCTGAAATGAAGCAATTGAGAAATTATCAGTATCAAATACTTTTAGAGTCAGAAATATTACGTTATCTTTTCAATAGTACTGTTGTATATCGGACATTGCCATCTTTACATTGGGGTCATTACTTGAACAAACCCTTTAACCAATGATTAGGTTTTAAATCTTCAATGGGTTCTTTCAGAAAAAAACAGTTAGTTTAAATCTATGGCCAAAAATGCTTTTATTATATGTTTAGAATTAAACTCAATAACAATTGCTGCCATCTTTTATTTAGGTCTTTTGCATAGAAGTTTTATTCCAGGGCCCAAAAGGTTATATAGCATAAATATGTGAAGTATACCTGCAATATGGAAACAGTACAACAAAATGGCCGTTTTAAACTTTTTTCCAGTAAATTCCCCTCTAACATATATTCTATTCTCTTTGTATGACCCCATCACCCCCCTTCCCCTTTTATATATTTGTTTCTCGCACCCTCTTTCCGCCCCGCGAGGTGGCATTTTTCACACATCAAGCCAATCCCTTTTATTTCTACATTCCGAAAGAGTAATTCAGGACGAAAATGTACATCCGTTGCAATGAGATTTTTGCTTTATACTTGAAACCTGATAATGAAAAGAAACTTTTTAAAAAAAAAATTATATTTCTCTTTTTTGATGTTTTTTTATGGTCGGTTATGCCTCGCTATTACCCTCTATCTTATTTTTAAGGTGTGAAATCATCCCCTGCTGATTTTAAAGCCAACACACCTAATAATGCACGGAGATTATGCAACCAGGCCTTGATCCAACCATTCAATCAAGCAGATGGTATCCTTTATCATATTATTATTATTATTATTGCATATTTACAACATATTATTAGGTTCGTAACTTTAAAGAAAAATATTGATAAGATAGAATCATCGCAAAAAAAAACTATTCGTCTATTGATGGGGTTGCCTAGAATAAGTCACACAGCGGAAGCTTTTTGGGCTTTGAACACACTCCCCTTCAGAAAATTAGGAATTTCTAATCTTATAAAATTTCTATTTCAATTTAAAGATGATCGACTGTCCCCGATATTTAAATTAAAAAAACATCAAAAACGCAAATCTTATAAACAGAAACATTGCAAAAGATTTATATCTCTATATGTCTATGACCACATATAAAGATTTATATCTCTGTATGTCTTTAGTTCTTCTTCCTGGGATTAACTTGGGGATTTGATATGTATATGAGGATACATATTTTACATCTGGAATACCAAGGAAGGATTCAGGATCAAAATAAGAAACCAAGAGGCTATGGGGCCGGTATAGCCTTTAAAGGGGGTTATAAGCTGATCCCGAATTGAATTAGGTTTTGATCGCTACTAGTTCGTCTTCTATCTGTTGGATATAAAAGGAGGACATGGTGCGTTTTAACCATTTTCTCCTTATATATACGCAACGAAGACCCCATAAATAGTCCACACAATTGTAAAATTCTCAACTCAAATTCACAAGGCTTCTTAGTTAATGATTGTCGATGAGATCATGAGTTTGACATCTCTGCGATGATACTGCACATACAACGTTGTAAAGCAAGATTTCGAAATGGAAAAGATTTAGACACCATTTGTTTAAAAGAGGCCCTAGGAAAAAATACTAATTTGTTTACTATAAAAACGTAGATTAAAACTTTAAGAACCCCTCAAGGAGCCTTTCTACAATAAAAGCTTATCCTCCGGCCTCCCTTGAATTTTTAAGGTTATAAAATCTCTAGAATACGCGTAAATGGATAAAGTTTGAGTCTACAGATGAGGTATTTTGGCTGTGACAAGCAACATAAACGGGCTCCAGCAGAAAGCTAATGGCGTCCAGTATAACATCTGATCGACAATAGCTGTGGCCAGAGCAAATTAATCGGGATGAACAGGGCTGAGATGTCTATAGAAGTACCATTGAAAAATTTTATGTGAAACTTATTGAACGTTTCTCGTA